GAGAATTCGGGCATGGCTGTACGCACTCTGGTTTTATCCACTGGTTCTGAAAAAATATTTTTTTTTCCTTTCTCCTTTCTTTTTTGCTATTAAATAATATTTTTTCTTACCTCTAGCCAAACACAACACAACAGTGAGTATGGCAATCCGTATCATTGTATTGTGTTGTGTTGTGTTGTGTTGTGTTGTGTTGTGAGGACCTGCCATAGATACCTGTCATTTGAATTAAAATTGTGGAATTTAGTGTGAACTTATCAATCTGCTATAACTGGATGTCAGATTTTTTTTTCTGGAACCTGGACTCCTGGCTCTCATCGGAAGTGAGCCTGGGGCCTAACAGCCCCCGTGACTCCTTACAGGAACTGAGAAAAATTTCTTCCTGTTTCAATGACACTAGTGATTTCTTTCAGGTTTTACCCTGGCTTGGACAGGCAAGGATGAGACATAAATTGTGCTGCTACCACCTAACGTCCTCTGCTGCTTATTCACAGCTGGGCAGCACTTCTCCAAGAAGATCCATCAGGACTGACTCTGTCAGGGACAATGAAATCACAACGTGGTTATGGTGGTCCCCTTCAATGGATGTCATTTCTTGCACATGGCACACCCTGCACTGGGCTCAATTCTTTGGCAGCTCAGACATGCTCTGCTTTAGCAGGCAGAAATGGTTGTGTTTCTAATTCTTATGTGAGCTCTGTGCCCAGCTCTCCTCTGAGCTGGCTGGGCTTCTCTCTTGGACCAGGCACACCGAGTGGCTTTATGAAGGCAACGTCTGTTTTCCTGCCAAGCTGTGGTTTTGCCAGTGTGGTAACATTAACACAGGTCCTGGTCCTGAGCCCTGTTTCTGTCCCAGTCTAGAATGAACCGTACTGGTGTGGGCACTCCTGTACTGGTTCCTGCATCCCCACTGAACAGAGCGGGCTGTGCCAATGCTGTCAGGCAGCCTCAGGTTTTGGCTTAGTCCCCTTTTAGCAGTGGCATTCCCAGCCCCTGCATTCATCACCCTGGCTGTGTGCCTGTTTGAGCCACCTTGAGCCCTTCCCCAAGGCTGCGTTGCAGCTCGGCCATGGTGCTGCTGAGCTTAGACACAGGCACTCCATCACTCACATCCTCCTTCCCCCCTGAGTCCCTGCAACATGGTCAGTTTGTGTACTTGGCATTGAATTCTTCAGTGTCAGCACAGGCTCTCCTGGACTACTAGGAAGTCCATCTGACTCCAGATTTTGCAGATTTTTACATTGCACTGCAAGGTGAAGAAGATATGAACCAGTTAGAGAAGGTTCAGAGAAGGGCCACAAAATGATCATAGGTCTGAAGCACCTCTCCTATGAAGAAAAGCTGAAAGAGTTGAGGTTGCTCAGCCTGGAGAAGAGAAGGCTCCAAGGAGCCTTAGTGTAGCCTTTCTATACTTGAAGGGGGCCTATAAGAAAGATGGGGACAGACTTTTTAGCTAAGCCTGTTGTGATAGCACAAGGGCTTGTGGTTTTAAACTAAAAGAGGGGAGATTTAGAATAGATATAAGGAAGACATTTTTTTACAGTGAGGGTGGTGAAGTGCTGGAACAGGTTTCCCAGAGAGGTGGTAGATGCCCAATCCCTGCAATTGTTCCGGATCAGGCTGGACAAGGCTCTGAGTGACCTGATCTAGTTGAAATTGTCCCTACCCATGCCAGGGGTTTGGGTTATATAACCTTTAGTGGTCCCTTCCAACCCAAAACACTATATGACTCTACGATAAGTGTCAAGGGAGTAGGTTAAGCACATCATATTCTGTTTTCTGGCCACATTGTTGGACAGCAGTTTGGATTCAACTTGTTCCTGCTGCACACAGGAGCAGATGAGCTGGACTGTGGTGTCCTTTGCCCTTGATGTGCAGATCTAACTCCTGGTGTAACCTTGATCCTGGCTGACACTTTTACAATTGCTATTTTCTGGATGCCCGTTCTCCAAAATGGACATTTATGGGAATTTAAGTCCAGCCAAAAGGTCATCACTGTGGACATGGTGACTTTCCTTTTGGTGGCAGTTTTGCCTGATACAAAACATATGTCTTAGCATTCAGCCTGAAAATTGTGAGGAATGTACCCTGCTAGCAAGGAAAGTGAGAAAATGGGAGTGTAAGCACCACATTCTGATGTATCAAGACAAGAATACAGCTTGTAAATCCTTTATTTCCCAACAGTGAAGATGCTTTCTTTACATACAGCCACTGAAAGACGAAGGAAACCCATGCAGGCTCAGCAGTGTCTGTGGGAGCCCTATGGAAAGCTGTGTAAGCCCAAGGGCTAGTACTGGACATGCTGTTAGTGCTGGTGGGGCTCCCTGCCAGGACAGAGAGCTTCTGCCTCTTCTCATACAGGTGAGCCGCCAGCTTTGAAATTGTTGCCATTCATCAAGTTCCATCTATGGTTTGTGGGAAGTGCTCCTTGCCTTCTCTAAACCAGAGCCAGGAGTGATAACCATCTCTCTTCATTTTCCTGCTGTTAGAGGCATCAGAGTGGATGCTGGAAAAACTCTTGGCATTTTCTAGTCACGTTTTCTGAGGCCTGAAACCCCATAACAAATATTTCCTCTGGTTCAAAACAGCAAAGAGCTTTGTTACAATCTGCACTGTCACACCCTGCATGGTGCTGGCTCTTCTCACTCGCATTGGCACTGGATGTCCCTTTGCCTGCTGCTCTTACCAGCACTGTTCAGGTTTTCTACTTATATCCGGATTTCTAAGCACTGAAAAAAGTTTCAAAGCTGCATAGACAAATGCAATTATGATTACCACTAAGGCAGAGATGTGGGGTTGCTTGCATGTACTGTTGACATTTTAAGTCAAATATCTGCAAGCAAGTTGTTGCGTTGTGCCCAGGTACATGTACACAGGCTGCTCGTCACCTGCTGAATGCCCTGTACTGGTGGGAAAGGGAAGTACTGAGCCCATAAGAGAGAAGCCTTTCATTTATCTCAGACACATATAAGACTTTTGGGTAAGGTAGAAGCCTTTGGTTTAGGGTCTGTATTTTCACTCTGGAAGTTTAATTAGCTGGCACTTGCCCATTATTTAGTTTATTCTTCGTCCCTTTGTTTCACTGGAGCTTCCAATTTCTAAAGGTATAAAACGTTTATCTTCATACACCAGGCAAGGTAAGGGGTATTGCTCCTAGGGACAGGTTAGGAAACACTGATAGAGAAGGCAGGAGACTTGGCTAAGGTCAAAACCGAGGTCTGAGCTAAACCAGCATAGTACAGCACCTAGATCCCAGGAGCTTACTTTTGCACTTCAATCTGTGATCAGCAGAGTTTCTGGAGAACATTTATAACTGCATGCCGGAAAGATCATCTGACGATTTCTGAGCATCTGCTGTCTTGGGTGTATGCACTTTGCTGGGGATTTTAGGCTCAGGTTCACAACTGTACTGTGATGAAGATGGACTACCCAGCTCAGCTGCAGCACCAGCCCGTACCTGCACGCTGATCCTGTTCTCTCTTAGTGCACTAAGCTAAAGAGAACCATATCTCTTCTGCTGTGGACTTAGAGTTCACACATGTGGGAGCTACGGCAGATGAGCTGATGTCAGATAACTGGAAAAGCTGTGAGCTAGTTCCCATGCCTGAGCTCGGCTTGTTTCGTGACAGCTGGGATGTTTCATGTTGCATGTGGGTCTTACAAGTGTTATCAATTTATGGAAAATTCATCTTTCTCTGTCAATATTTTTATGGCCTAGTAAAAAGACTATAAACACAGTCTGACCAAATTGGGTTTGCATTATGAAGAAGACCACGTGAAGAGCAGAAGCAGGCAGTGGATCCTTGGGCAGCCTCCGAGTCCCATCAAATGCATTCCACTCCAGCGTCCTCGCTGTGGGAGCAGTTGTGCTCACCCCATTCACGCGAGGAACACTCAAAAATTGATTGTTCACCCCCGTTGCAAGCCACGTCATCAAGCCAAATTTGCCCCGAGCCTTTGGAAGAGGAATTAAACAAAAAACTGTTGGACAAAAGAAAGAGGACTGAGCATTCTTTTCTAAAGAGCCTCCTGTGGATAGCAGGAGTGCGTTGGGTTGCATGGTTGGCTTGATGGATATCAAGCAGCACTTGACATGCACCACCCTCACCCCAAGGGGAATGGGCTGGCCCTTTGAGGAGATCCTCCTTGCTCTCTTACTGCTTGAGTAGAAGACCTTGCTGTGGTGCCTTCTGGGTGTGTGTAACCTCCCCTGCCAGCCTGGGGAGGTGAAAGACTGCTATGGACTTACCTGCTGTGGCTGTGAAGGTGGAGAGTGCATAGCTGTATCCCAGCATTCGGCAGACCACGTTGCCATCTTCTTTGCCCCAGCTATCATCACATATTGTTCCCCAGGACCCTCGGTGAAAAACCTCCACGCGGCCCCTCCTGTCCCCTCCCACGATTCGTATAAGAGAACTGAAGCTGGCTGACAGTGAAGAGGAGAAGAAAATAACTCTACTGGTCATACAGGCATGAGGAAAATTCACATTGAAAGACAGAAGCAATAACTGCCCAAATTGGAGGAATGTTCCCATTTCCACAGCTGTAGCCAAGGTGGGACCAGAAGTTTCAGAAGTTTCAGCTCAAATCTGAACAATTTAAGGCTCTCTCCTGAGTTTGGAGACACTAGGCTGCAGCTCAGACCACAGACCCCTTGGTTCTGGTAGCTGTGCTGGGGGTTAACTGTTGTGCATAGTGGGGGACTCTGGTCCTGATCTGGTATAGCTTTGGTGCCAGAAGCAACAAACAGAAGAAGAAATGAAAGTCCAGTACCTTTTCCCTTTTCACCTTTGCTTCCTTTTTCTCCTTGGGAACCTGTTCCAAATTGAAAAAGGAAATATTTGACTGCTGTTTGGAGTAAAACGCAGTGAGTGAGTCAGAGATGTGAAGTCTCCATTCCCTTGTGACATGGACCCCCTGAAGTGACTAAGGGTATGTAAAAGAAATATGGCAAGAAAAAACTCGTAAAATCCCATCAACTCACTTGTGGGAAATGTATTTTATTCCCACCACTACCTGTAAAATGGCATCTCTGACAGCTTTTGAGCTCTCCAGAAGCAGTCATCTTTGGTATCTCCCAAAGTACTTGCAGAAGGATCTGCATCATGGTGTTTGCTTTGCAAGTACAGAATAGCAGAAAGCCACTCCCAACAGTCTTCCACGCTTCTATGTAGCGTCGTAGTCTTGAAAGTAGGAGCGTTTAAAGAAACCCAGTGAGCTCTTCCCCTAAAAGCTACCTCCATAAGGCACACATTACTGTCTCCTGCTTGGGACCAGGACATGAGACCCACCCAAAGGGCAGTCCATAACCTAGAGTCACCCCAGTTACACTTTTCCTCTCCTACAGAGGCGAAGCTCCAGAGGAAGAGTGCATGGAGAAGCCCCACACAGGCTCTAGTTTAGTTTATTTCTGAGGACTCTCCTACTCTTCTGTATGAACAATTAACAGAAAAAGCATCTGGAGCACTGATTGCTTCCCATGGCCTGTTGTAACTACAGCTTTGAGGGTTTCCTACTATAGGTCTTAGGAGTTTTGGAAGCATTCTGTGATTGGAAGGGAGCAGGGTAAGGATGGGGAGTAGCTGTATTGTTGGCCCTCTTGAACTATTTTTCTGTCCTACAACTGGTGAGGCATAGGTAAATAGCTCTGGTGTTTCCAATTCTGTGTTGCTTACTGCCACATTTATGTGGGATTTATTCCAGTAGCATGGTGTGGTGCAAGATGTCTCTGTACAAAGAACATGGATTGTCCCAGTTTTCTGTGAGATTGGGGATTTGAGAAAATCTAATGCATCTCTTTACTTCCACATCTTTTAGCACATCTCTCAAGGTGTGTATGTGATACTCTGCATATTCTTCTTCTGGGACAACTGATCTGTCTGTTGGGTTCCTCCCAATGAGCTCTGTAAATATGCCCCAGGGTAGTTTGTGCCAATCTGTGTTGTACTGTCTCAAACCCAAACGCATCATCAGCCCCACAGACCCTGTGTCAAACAGCCTTACCAGTGTATCCACGGTCTCCCTTGGCTCCTTTTAATCCTGGTTCTCCTTTTGGACCCTGACTGCCATAATCACCCTTGCTTCCTTTTTGACCAGCTAGGCCTTGGCTGCCTGAGTGGAAAGCAAGAAAGTCATTGCATTTATCTCTTCCCAAGGAAAAAAGACAATGAGCATTTCACGTTGAAGCAGAGAAGTGGATCATGACATTTAAAGTGCTTTGCATCCTCAGAATAAGTCATGCTGTCAAACAAGGGTTTACCTGGTAGACCATGGTCTCCCTTTATTCCCTTTTCCCCTGGAGGACCTAAGATCATCAAAACAAACAAACAAACATTCATAAGACAGATATTTATGCATTTATAAAAGCTTATGCAAACCATTATTTATGATGGATTTCAACTCATCTGTTTTTTCTGTCTACACAATAGATATCTATTTCTGAAGCAAGAATCTTATTTCTTGTTGCATTCAGTAAAAGGAGATGAATGATCATCTATGTCATATCCTAAACTCCACTGATGGAATAGGGACCTTCCCTCCAGGTGGATCTTCACTGACCATACAGCAAGCTGAAGTGCTGGTGTCAAACCCCCAGCCCTCAATGAGGGTGGGCATATGGATGATGTCCACAGCCAGGCAAGAAAGACCCTCCTGACTGGTTTTCATCCAGGGCTTGGCCAGCTTGGGTGGGATCTGATTAGGAGATCACCACCAGGTGCCCCCGCCTTCCACAGTAACTTGGAGGCAGGGCAAGAAGCCACCTCTGTAAGAACAGACTCTGCTTGCAGTGCAGCTTGAGGCTTGCCTTTACAGTCCATGTGTTGTGTGAGGGTTCTGGTTCTTGTAAGGGTTTCCTTATTCTTCATGAGAAGTGGAGTTTCCAGGATAGCAGAACAAGATCATGAATCTCTCTCTGGGAAAATTCTGTATAATTGGACCGATCACCTGGGTCCTTCCATCCACCATGGTTCTGGAGTCAGCTTGCTCCCTTCTGCACATCCTATGCTGTGAGTGTGTTAACTTATTCCACTTTCCAGTGGTCTGGCACCTTGGATTATTGGTGTATTATTAAAGAATGGAGGGAGGACTCTGGCTGCTGTTTTGCCTGTTAGTAATAATATCCTTCTATATTGGGCAAGTGGTCAACAGAAGACAAGCCTAGACAAGGGTTCAGCACTTGGCCCTTTGTCACCTCCTGATGGAGATGAGGGGCTGCATGCACTACGTAAGTTCAAGGTTTAAAAGATTGCTTCAAGATAAATATTGTAATAGACTTGTCCTGGAGAATGTCACCCTATTATTTGGGTGCTTTGGACAGAGAGGTGACCTTATTCAGCTAGGATGTCAAAGAAAAGGCCTAGGTTATGCACTCTAAGTTGGCCTCTGAAGATATTTCTTCCTGCAGCTCTACAGAGGAGGCCAGGATAGATGCTTGCTAGTGAATACCATTCCCCATCAGATTTACAGCCAGTAAAATTTGTCTTTTGCTCCAGGGTAAGGATGTAGTTTTTTGCTTCATCTTAAACTGCAGCTTTGTTTATGCATTCTCTATTTATACAAAAAATGCAGGTAACATCACTTTCTCATGCATGTTGTAGATGGTTGAAAAAAAACCCCCAGTGAATAGCTACACCCCAGCAGTGTAGCAGAGGTCCAGGCCCACCATGGCATCCTGCAATGCATTGGGGCCCCAAAACCAGCACTCAACAAATCTAATTGTTGTTGCAGATCACTTTCCAGTGTCTGCATGGTGTGTGTTGTTGACCTTTGCCTGTCTTATTCTCCTTTACCTGTTACTCCTTTGTCTCCCTTTTCACCTTTGGGTCCTGTAGTGCCTGGTATTCCTAAAATTAAAAAAAAAAAAAAAAAAAAAAAAAAAAAAAGGGAAAACCCAAAAAAAAAAAAAAAAAAAAAAAAAAAAAGAATAAGGGCAAAGCCATCACACAAAGTGAGGCTGGGGTAGGAGGTCAGTGAGTTATAGGTCTGAGTAGTGTTGTACCTGGACTACCACTGGTCCCCTTGTCCCCCTTCTCCCCTTTCTGGCCAGGTCTGCCTTCAGGACCAGGAACTCCTGCAGGTCCATGTGGTCCAGTTTTGCCTTGAGGTTGAACAAAAGCAGAACATGTAAAACATAACACAACATATGAAGGAGAAAACAAAGGTAGCTTGATCACAAGCTCCTGCACTGTGCAGATTGAGTTGGCCCTCAGAAGTCAGGACAGACCCATGGTCTCTCTGAATTGCAGTCCTGCCCTGGCACCACTAATCTTAGTGGTGGAGTGAGTGATGGTCTGGAGTGAAAGGGTGCATGGGCCCAGGTCCTCACAGACTGCCAGCTTGAAGAGGGACAAGTGCCTTCCTAAAAAGCAGCCAATTTGTGCCCCTGTGTGTGCACGTGCCAGGAAGGAGGATAGGGCCCTTCTACTCTCATTCTCCTGCCCAGTGAGTGAGGTCCAGATTAGACAGCTGAGACTGTGGGATGGGTCTGCACAATGTTGGCATGGTTTCTTCATTTAATCATCATCTTCTCTTACGTATGCAGTTTCTTCATATCTCTAGAAGAAACTGCACCTTCTGTACTGCTTACCTGCTTCTCCTTTCTGCCCAGGTTGTCCAGGTTCCCCCATGGTACCTGTAACAACATCCTAGCATCAGTGCTAACCGGGCTTAGCTGAGAACTTCAGCTAGAACTGCCCTCCACCACAGCATGAATGTGCTGATGGTGGGTTGCACTGTGTCCTCTGCACTTACCCTTTAAACCTGGCAGTCCTGGGAATCCCTTCGGTCCCACAGGACCCATGGGTCCACTGGGCCCAGGCTCTCCCTTCTCGCCCATTTCACCTTTCTGTCCTTGGACACCTATGAAACAGCACAGCACACAAGAATTAATTTTAAAAATGAGATTCGTTGTCTCTGCAGAATGAGTGGAGCACCTCTGTTTAGCTGCACCAGCAGCAGCGTTTGGCCTCACAGCTGCATTTACCATTCAGTGGCATTCCCCTACAGCTATAGGAGAACAGGGACAGGTGGCACCTCCAGAGCTGGTCTGAATCATCTCTGGCTCTGCTGAGCTGTCTGGTCAGATGTTTCTCACCTTCTGGTAAAGACCTGTAGTGGTGCCATGACACCTTCCCAGTCTTATTCCCCAAACTATCCCTACAGCTAAAATGTTTTCTTTTCTGTGAAATATCCATTATTGCTGTCTGAACCAGTCCCTTCTCCTAGCCAGAGATGGAGGACAGTGTTTTCCTGTACTCACAGGGAATTGCCACACTTCCATTTAGACTTGTTTTCTGAACAGGTGATCAGTGTGCTTCAAAAGAGATTAATTACTTGAAAGCGCCTCGTTTAAAGACTGACATCTCCTTCATCTTTCTGCTCCAGAAGAACTCCCAAAGTCCTTGCCTTTCAGTGTTCTCCCTACTTTCACTGTTCTTTTCTGAAACACCCTGTGCTAATGAGGGCACTGGAGCATGTGGGATCTGATGGAAGATCTGAGGAAGCTCTAATGAATCTGCCCAACTCTCCTCCCTGGTCTGCATCACACACATCTTCTTTCTTTTGCTGTTCTGGTTTCAGCCTTTCCTCTCTGGGTGTGGCCTGTGTGAGATCACCAGGAGATGCCAACAAATGCACGTTACACCAGAAACATGGTGCATAACTCTTCTACTTAAGGTCTGTAAAAATCAGGCTTACTTAAGTTAAAAAGTACTCATAAATAGATTTTACTAAAGTGAGGACTAACATCCATGCTTGTGTGTATTAATTATATTGTATTATTTTATACCATGAAAAAACCTACTGCAAACATCACTGCTTTAATCTGCGATAGGCTGATAATTGAATACCTCTGGTTTTCGTTAGACAAAGGCTGCTCTGTAAAGAGACTTCCATGGTGCAGAGTCAACATTTTGCACAACCCCTCTTCCCCACCCCTCCTCTGGGAGCTTTACTAGAGTGTGACATGAAATGAAATCCCTGTAGATCAGTTCAAGTGTGCTATTTTTCCAGCTCCCTCATTGACTGGCAAGCCACAGTGAGGGCTGCCTTGATTTTTATGAAATATCTGACCTGTGAAGACCTCTTCTGCTGTTTTAAGTAGAATGAGTTTAAACACAATTACATGGGAAAATCTTCAAAATGTTGAGATAGTGAAGTCTTACCTGCAAGCCCCATCTCTCCTTTTTCTCCTCTCATTCCTGGTATACCACTTGGGCCAGCAGGACCAGGATTTCCTTTGCTTCCCTTCGCACCCTGCAGTCCACGTAAGCCTACAAGGACAACATCACTTTTCTGATGCTTCAGTGAGTGTCATGAACAGTGAATGCCAGCAGCAGGCCATGTGGCTCAGCTGCAGGCATAACCCACACTCCACTCGGTGTATTTGAGACTGGTAGTGGTGGCAATAGGGAACTAGCTCACCATGATCAGTCCACACTGCCTTTTAAAATAAGAACATTTTCCAGCTAAGTTTTGCTTTTCTTCACATTAGTTTTACACAGGCTTATCTCCTTCAACTCCAATGACGTTCCTACTGACTTACACCTTGACTGAGGACAAGATTGCCCATAAAATCACCCATAAAACCACTTTATGGTCATCAACAGAAGTAATGCAGGTGTTAGAAGCCTTACCTTGGATTCCTTGCTCTCCCTTTGTCCCTGGTGGTCCCTGTAGCCCTGAGATGTGAAACACATTTATCAGTTGACACATATCATTTGTTCAAAGTAATGGCTAAGAATAAGAGATGAATTTTTTTAATACTCCTTTGTGCATGCACCTTTGGTCACCACTGAGGCAAATCTTCAGTTGGCAGGGACCAGCACAACCACTTGAATAAAGTCCGTGGAGCTCAGCTGAGTGAGTGGCTGGGCAGGGGCCAGCTGTCCTCCAGCCAAGCCCAGCTCATGGGGACCTTTGGGGAGATCTTTCCTGAAAATGCACTGAACTATTGGGGTCTGATGTATAATAATGGTGCTTGGCAGGAGGTGATGTTTCAGTGTTGTAAATGCAGCCAGGAAGATAAGAAAACATGATTTTTCAGAAACATATTCATTTTTTCTTCCTCCGAAAAGCTCATCAATGTTGCCAAGAACTAGGGGTGGATGAGATACAGACCTGACCTAACAAGGGTTGCATCATCAAAGGATCACAGAAACTCTGGTTTCTCTGAACATCAACTAAGCCAACCTCTGCTCAAAGTGGAGCCAACATTAGATCAGGACTTGCTACATCCTCACAGTCGGGAGAGATTTATCTGGGTGTAGTTCTACACAGAACTCCCAGGTGCCCAGGGCAGAAACTTGTGTGTGGCTGTGGAGGAGACAGCTTGCACCTGGCTTATTCCTGAATCTGTGCAGTCATTTCTCCAGGGACAGGGTGGGCAAGGTCTCAAATCTGTCACTGTTTGTTACACACACTGTTCAGATGGGGCCTTGTAGAACAGGGATCGGGAAGGTCTCCTTGAGTTGTCCTGGAATGAGCAGGACAGCAGGACTTGCTATTTCTGGGCCAGAAAGCCCAGCTATCCACTGGTCATGGGGTGCACATAAACCTCACTGACTCTTGTCTCACATGGAGATATGAGATAGTTATTGCAGATAATGACCACATAGAGTTCCTCCACCACTTTGGAGCTTTTCTGGTGGGGTAGCAGTGAGGAGTCAGAGCCAAAATGCCTTGTTCATGGTGGTCACTGACCTCGGGCAAGCCGAGGCTCTCTGTACATCACTCAAAAGGTGCAGCAGGTCTCCTCACTGCCAGGGCACTGAGTACCTGGATGTGGGGTAGATTCTGTGTCTAGAGAGTGAAATCCCAGACCCCCACTTCAGGCCTCTTACGGGAGAAAAAGGGAAGGAGGAAAAGAGAAAAAAACCTGCTTGTGGCTCGTTTACCAACATACCCGGTGGACCACGTTCTCCTTTGCGTCCAGCAGACCCTGAAATAAAAGTTTAGTGGATATTTTTTAGTAGTCAGTACTCAGTGAGGAACATACCAGTATGGGAGTGATAGGCTTGAGGTCTTGGCTGAAGATACCACCCTTTCAAAAAGCCCCCAGATCCCAAATCTACAAGTTATTGGAGGGGAGATTAGCCCAGAGCTGCATGTGCAGCTGCAGCAGGAGCCGGGGGGATGCACAGGGCTGTGCTCCAGTTTCTCCAGTGCGTCCAGCTCCCCAGCTGTGGCATCTGGAGCTGGTGTGCAACCGTGGGCACTGGGACATTACTGACTGGCAGGAAGACCAAATCATGCCCTATTTGTTCATTTGAACTAGGTTCTTGGCCCAGCTTTGCCAGTGATGCCGAGGAATCGGGTCTCCCCACTGGACAGACAGCATGGAGAAATGGACTCATACCCACAAGCAGAGAGATGTTGTTTATCATCATCATCATGTTTGCATTGCTGCTTTTAATTATGTTGATTTCCTCTTCTAACTCTTCTAAGCTGGTAAAGCTTCCTCTCCAGTCCCCTTCATGCTCTGTGTGCAGTCTCTTGACAAAGGCGCTTTCCAAAATCTCTTCTGTATAGGTGGTATTTTGGTTTTGACATTTCAGTATCTCTCTCTGCATCTGAAACACTGAGGAAACAAAAGCCCATGCAGTGCATATTCCCTGCCTGATCCAGCTGGGAAATGCCTGTTCATCAGGGCAGCCTGTCCAGGGAGGACACCCAGGGTTAAATCCACCACTGTTTGACCCGGGGAGGTGGCTTTCAAGTGCCAGTCCCTGCTGCAGCCAGGAGTGCTTTTGCATATACACAGCAGACAGAGGGGCTGGGGGAGAGGTTTCCTGCAGCAGCAGCATGCCAAGGAGCGCTCCAATCTGTGTGCTCACCCCCGCTCGCCTGTGCCCCCCGAGAGCACCAGCAAAGGTGTCTTTTGACATCAAGGCCCCAGGAAGGTTGCAGCGTTACCTTTGTATGTCAGCAGCCCCTGGCCAGCCGTCAGCAGCAGAAGGTAGATGCTGAGGGCTGTCCGAACACAGCACCTGGAGGCCTTTCTTTGGATTCGAGGCTCTAAAAACCAACAGAATTAGAGTAGACATCCTCTCGCATCTCTCCCACCACAAACTCTCGTCTCTTCCAGCCATTTCAGGCTTGGCCTGAATAATAAATAATCGGTGATTTCCAGAGATGGGGAGCAGCAAGGTCCCTCTGCAAAAGTGCCAGGTCCTGCAAGGTGAGGCAGCAGTGCTGCCTTCCTCCTCCCTAGGCTTTGCACTGCACTTCACTTGGCTCACTTGTTTTTAGCCAATTTAACCAGCTCACTACCCTCAAGACTTAATCTGGCCTATAACATTTGAATGTCATAGCTCTCCCCTTTCTCTGCCAATAAAAGTCCTGTCTCCATCACTTTTAGCTGTCCCAGCTGCTGTTCAGAGAGTTGCTCAAAACACATGCCCTCTCCATCCAGAGTGCTGCACACATGTGATTCCAGCAGCAGTGCATGTGTGCATCGAAACAAATTCAAAATCAATAATAAACCAAACTGCAGAACAAATGGAAACAAGTCATAACATTTAAAACAAATCATCACTAGCAAGGGTAAAAGAAATAAAGGGCTTTGTTGAGTTTTGGCCTTCAGGGAGAAAAAAAGTGTTTCGGAAGCATTAATAACTACTTCAGACATTCAGTACATTACCCTTAATTGGTTTTTTTTAAAAGTAATGTAATCAGGAGTTTAAAGTCTCAGTTTTAAAAGAGTACAATGATTTAATTAGTTTTACAACAGAATGGTTTAGTCAGCAATGAAGTATTTATATTCAGCTAAAAATTAATAAACTTACATTTCTGATGATTTCAGTATCTTAACTATTAAGACACGAAAGTTCTACTCAGTGAAAGTAGAAATTTTCTAAAACAGTAAAAAAACCAGTTTTTCCTGATGCTCAGCATCAGCTTTTGGCTAAAAAGGACATTTTCACAAACTCGTCTTTAAATGACAGTGAACTTACTAGCAAAATCACTGTAAAAAAATTTAATATGCAGTATAAATACAATATTTCATTTTTATGTGCTGCTTTCTTCATAGACCAGATAAAATCCATACCAATCCATTTAATAAAAAGAAACCTTACCACTTATCTGAAAGGTTGTGGTAGCAGCTGAGGCAAAGCCAATCTTGTCTGAAATACTGCAAGTGTTCATATCACTCAAATTTCCATCTTCCCCGTATCCGTCATTAATTTTCATGACAAATTTCTTGTGGCTGACCTAAAGCCTTGTCAGATTATGGACAATAAAGAACTGAAGGGACTTCCTATCTGCCTTCTGATTTGATATGCTTTCTGATATGCTTTTTTCTATCTGCTCAGTTTTTATAGACTTGTGAGAACTCTGATGTGGTAATTCGAACAGTTCCTCAAAAAAATCCCACAGCTAAGATGTTCAGCTGCTCTTGTGCGCTCACTTGGGGACACCGTGTCCACAGAGCCTTCAACAGGATCCTGCAAGAGGTTCAGCTCTGAGTTATTCAACATCTCTGCACTTTAGTGTGATTGGACGTGAGGTGGCCATTTTGCTCCAAACACAAGTAAACCTCCTCATGTAGCCAAGAAGATCACAGGTTCAGCATTAGCTTGGAGAACCATTCCCTGGAAAGGGAGGTGAAGCACTGTATGGTAGTGAAAAACAGATTAACTTGCACCAAAATGACAGCTTAGTGACGATGCATGACTGAAGTGTGAAGAGACAAGCCACTGGGAAGAGTTGTACAGCCAAGTGAATGATGGTGGGATGGGGAATGCTGAAGCCCAAATGGATTTGGGATGTAATGGAGAAGAGACACTTACAGCCTCCTTGTCAAGGCTCTCTCCAGCCCCTGCTTGGTCCCTGACCAATTTTCCACACCCACAGACACAATTCCTACCACCTCACCACTTCTTCGCCCATTTCCTGAAAAACCCACACCTGCATACGTCACCAGGGTGTTTGGCCTTTTGGCATCTCCAAGTGTGCCAAGGTTAACTTTTATTTTGCACAGCGAAGTGACTCACCCGAGCCTGAGGGTGAGAGCCATTGGTAGGCGCCGGGCAGAGCCCTCCGCACCCATGCTGCTGCTGCTGCTGCCACACGCTGCCCTCTCCAAGCTGCAGGGCAGTCCCCATCACATGGTCTTCTCCTGGGCTGCAGGTCCATGCTCATCTACAGGGCTGCTGGGTCCTCACCACTTTGCACATCCATGCAAGAGGGTGCAGTGTAAGCCTCAGGGAGACACGAGCTGGAAATCCACACATGGACAGCACAGTACAGAGTGAAGCCTTCTGTTCGGCACTTGAGGTGTGGATCTCTTAAAAGCTTAAACCAAAAACATGTGGGGATTTTTAAACGTACTTCTGCATTCTCCCTTCAAACGTGTATGCAGCTGTGACCTGGTTTGGCACCAGCAGAGAGGAAGAGGGATCCTCCATTATCACATATTCTGCCACACACTGCATAGGAAATGGTACCATTTGCTTTGTTGTGGAGAGTTCAGATACCCCCTGGAATTAGGGTGGCTTGAGAACTTACCACCAATCAGCTGAGCCATAGTAACTAACTTTGCATCCTCTCTCTTCATGGCCTCACCTCCCACTGGGGTAGAGGGTTGTATCCAGCCCATTTCTGGTGGTCTGGGTGGTTCAGCTGTCCACTCTATGCAAGCCTGATGCCATCTACTCTAGCTGGGCCAGGTGATGAGCTGGGCATGACTGCACTTGCATTGCCAAGTGGATGTTTATAGGAATGGATGTGATTCAGGTGCACAAAGAGAACAGACTTACAGCAAAGAGGTTTTTAACACTACTGCTAGGCAAATCTGTTTTAATTCAAAAGTGTTAAAATTAAGCTTGTAGCTGTAGTTTTCGAAAGTCCTTCTAAAGGGCAAAAGGTGCAATGAGATCTTTGTGCCCTCCTTCTCTGAGAAAGAAGATCAGGGCTATGTTTTTCCACCTTTCATGGTCATGCTGTGGCCATACCATTCTCAATGGCCCAGGTGACACAAGGGCAAAAGCAGAGATAAAGACCCTTGATTTTGACAGTTCTGATCTATACTGCTTCACAGTTCAAAGCCCAGTTCTCCACTTAGTCATTTTGGGAAGATCAATAGCAAAGTCATGATCCTACCCAACTTTGCCTACCAGCTGTGGCTGCTTACCCAGCTGGTCAAACTTAATTCTCCTCTTACTTCTAGTTGATGTAGCTCTGGGCAGCTCCGTGTGTTGCCATACCCCCATCAGTCAGGTGAGCATCTGGCTGCCTGGGAGCATTGCCGTGTGTTTCCACCTGGATGCCAGCCTCTGCAAACAGGAGGCAGGTTTCCCTGTGCCAGGACAGCGTGGCACTGGGGTCTTGGCCATGGCACAGATGTCAGAGATGGGTCTGGACAGGCTGGCTCAGCCTCCGCGTGTACTCGCTGCCCCCTCTGCTTTCGTTTCTCGCTGCACCGTCACTGGCTGCAGCAAGAGATTGACTCTGGTTGTGCAATCAGGGTTACTAAATCAGCCAGGAAAAAAAGAAAAGAAACCGCTGATTCAGTACAGTCTTCCTAGGCTGAGGGTTTGCTGAAACAATGGGATTATTAATAGAATAGTAGTTACCAGCACATCATGAGGCATATCTGCTGGGCCATCAGCCTCACCCTCCCGGCTCTCTGCTAGGAAGCCTTGGTCCCTCCCTGCTGCTCATCCTTCCTTCCCTGAATTGCTCTGCCATCACCTCAGTTCACCCCTTCTTTTCCTATGATCTGACATTGGTGGCTCACACCAGGCAGAAAGTGTTCCTCACGCTTTCATTGCAAAGGTGAACCACATCTGGACCAAGTTTTACAAACAGACTGCAATCATCTCAAAGTCATGGGCCTGGAGGTAGCTGCTGGTGGAGAGAAGAGGAAGCATCTGTTCCCTGGTCATGGCCACTACCTTTTTCATCTCCTTTCACTACTTTTGTCAGCTGCAGGCATTTGCCACTACCAAAAGCAAAGCAAAGAGAGAGAACATCAAACTCCAACCTGGCATCAGCTAAACACAGCATTTGCCAGCAGTGACACTGCTAGGGAGCTTGAACAAATGTTACCCTCCTCAGGATTAGCATTTATCCTGAAAGAACTGAATATGTGAGGGGTTTTTTAAGTGTTGGGTTTTTTTGTTTTTTCCCCAAATGAGAAGATATCCTAGCTCAGAGGTGATTCTCCATTTACCTACAACATAATAATTTTTCCAAACTCATCTATTTTATTTTAGACTGTCTAAGGCACAAATGGGCAGAATTCAGGGGGTTTTCCATGAATGCGTCTCCAAGAATGAGGAAGAGAAAAGGTGACAGCACAAACAGGCCCCAAACTGGGTAAGCTGGGGCAGCAACCTCCACCATTTCTGCTGTTGCCTCTAGATCGAAGTGAAAGTTGCAGCTAGAAAAGGTGACAGTCTACCCCTTACCCCAACACCTGCACTCATGTTTCTGCAGATGGGCTTCAAAAAACTTAAAAGTAGTCCTGCCCACAGACCACACTGGTCTCCCACAGAAACAAGTAGCTGTGGTTTAACCTAGGGCACAGCCCATAGATGCACGCCACAAAGCCATCAGTGACCAGAGCTGTACAGTTGCCTCTACAGTGGTAGGTTTGTTTGAAAACTAGCTTGTTTGGGGTTTCCCCTGCATTTTATGTGATTTCTCAGTCTTTTCTCTTTTTGGAATGAATAAGACAGATTGATTAATTTTGACATACCAGTCGGGTCTTGTGGTGGACTGACCCTGGCCGTTAACGAAACACCCAGTCAGCTGATCATTCAGTTCCCTTCTCAAATCATGGGGAGAAAATACAAGGAAGGTGAGAAGACTCAGTAGTCAATATAATGACTGTTTAATAAGGAAAGCAAAAGTTGCACTTGCAAGCAAAGCAGAAAGAGGAATTCATTCTCTTCTTCCCATTAGCAGGCAGACAGACAACCACTCCCTGGGAAGCAAGGCCTCAGCTTGTCTGATGGTTGTTTGGGCTGACAAATGCACCAGCCATAAATGTCTCTCCTTCCTCTTTCTTTCCATAAACTTATATTTTTGAGCTCAATGTCATATTGTGTGGAATATTCCCATGGTCTGTTTGGGTCAGCTGCCCCAGCTCAGTCCCCTCCCAGCCTCTTCCCATCCCCAGCCTACTCACAGCCTTAATGATGTGCAAGCCCTGGTCACCAATAGCCAAGGCATCAGTGGGTAATCAACACTGTTTTAGCCAGAAATCCAAAGCAAAACACCATACTGTGTTAGGCTGCTGTGGAGAACATTACGCCCACCCCCAGTCAGACCCAGTACAACTCAACAGTATGACCATATTTATGCTAAAATGCCTCGTGGTCCCTGAGCAAGAACCAAGGCCTTTGATGCTCATGGACATCAGGAGACACTGCTGAATTTAGGGAATGGCAAAGCAGGGTGTGAGGGATCAGCCCACTGGCAGCTCATGGAGGTTCAAGATCTGGGGTCTCCCTTAGGAGTGTCCCACTGACTGCCCAGCTCAGCCCTGGTCAGCACTCCCTGAATAAAAGTGGATCCAGCTCTAAGGCTAAGAAATTATCTCGTCCATGGAGAGTTTCCAGGCAGAAGAGAGACTGAGGCCAACACACAAAATCTAAACAACTCTCATTTGTGCCAGTGTCTTAAACAATGCTGAAGCCTGGGCACATATGGGAGCAGGGGTGTTGTTGTGAAGCCCCCCCATGTCTCTGCATGCCCAGAGCTGTTCTCTGGCTGCTGTGGTAGCACCTGGGCACTCCTGGAACTGCAGAGGAGCACTTGTGCTAAAGCAATAAAATCCCCAGTGCTGCCTGGCTGACATTTCTCCTTTCTAGCTTGATGTGTTGCTTGGCTTTGTTGTAGAGATTGAAACCAGATTTTCTTTCCCTTCTATGAGTTATGTTAATTTGTGTTTCATCAGAACTTGCCTCTTCTCCTCCTTTTCTTCCCCTCTCCTCTCCTGCCCCCCTTTAGGCTGGATCCAGCTGCACCATGAATTCAAGGAACCACCTGCAAAATATTTTAATGACTTCAACCTGCTCTTTGAGGTGGATTAATACCAGGGCAGCCTCGGCAGCATGGTGAAAGAGTCAGGCTTGGCTAAGCAGGCCACCCTCAAAGCTGAAAAATATGTTCTGTAAGGCAGCTGCTCCTGATGGGCAGCTCTGTTTTCAAGGCCCCCGTATGTCTTGCTCCTCACCTAGAAG